TCCATCACCCTCCAGTTTTTTTAAATCGCGAAAAACTACCCCAAAAACACGGAAAATCTTCAAATTCTCGCTTGAGCACGGGTCCGAAGTTTGGATAAACGTGAGAACCAGCACAATAAGATTATTTTATATGTATTTTGATGAGCTAAAACCGAATCCGGTGCCAAAATTGCTCCATCACCCTCCAGTTTCTTTTAAATCGCGAAAAACTACCCCAAAAACACGAAAAATCTTCAAATTCTCGCTTGAGCATGGGTTCGAAGGTTGAGATAAACGTGGGAACCAGCACAACAAGACTATTTTATATGTATTTTGATGAGCTAAAACCGAATCCGGAGCCAAAATTGCTCTATCACCTTCCAGTTTTTTTAAATCGCTAAAATCATCCCATAAATACGGAAAATCGCGCGTTATTGTCTCGGATCTTAACATTCTCTCTTTTTTTATCGTGCTCTTTTATCTTCAAAAGATCTGTGGATACCTTTTTCTTTTTCTGCTATCTGACTCGGATTCCCTTTTAAGCATCCAACAAAAATCTGCCATCATATTAACATCCCATCGTCCTTGGTACCTTCGTTCCATTTCCTTCATGTCTTAAATACGTTTATGGTAAATTTAAATTTTCTAAACAAAGATTGTATCTGAGGATTCGGTTTTAGCTCGTCAAAATACATATAAAATAGTCTTATTGTGCTGGTTCTCACGTTTATCTCAACCTTCGGACCCGTGCTCAAGCGAGAATTTGAAGATTTTCCGTGTTTTTGTGGTAGCTTTTCGCGATTAAAAAAAAACTGGAGGGTGATGGAGCAATTTTGACTCCGGATTCGGTTTCAGCGCGTCAAAATACATAACGATAGGTGGGTCTAGTCTCTGGTATTTTCAACTTTTTTTTTGTGGGTCTGTGTTATTAGCGCTGTTGCCACATCTACATAGTCTTTATGCGTTCATTAAATATAATTTAAAACTACCGATATTTTTATGTTGTTAATTAGCCAATATGTATGCTATGTGCATATGAGTAGATTTCTTTGCTATATAGATGTTTATCGCAAATAATTGGAATAGAATTTAATTTTTTCAATTTGGCAGCGGACTTTAGTCCTATAAGAAAAGCATAGGACCCCCCTGCGCTTCTCACTTCCCTCGGACCCCGATGTACCTCCTTAAATAGTAGATGAATATAGTTCGTGGGACTAGCAATGGCGGAAGTACTGCAATGAGGCTTTTTATCAACTTCACCTGTTCGTATAAATTAGGAGTTGATGCAGCATTGATAAAACTATTTTATATGTATTCTTCAAATACATATATTTTGTGGTAAGACCATTAGGGCAACAACTAACTACACAAACACTACAGCTGAATTTTATGTAAGAAAATACAATTGGTACTACATGCTTCAGTTTACAAACTTTTGATATGAAGACTAAGAAAATAGAATTAGATGCAATGCTATGTACCCCTTGGTTAAATATAGCACATATTTAAGAATCTATAAACAAAGATTATAAAAAAAAAATAAGAGAAGTACTTCAGGTCTATAACTAACGAAGATTGTGCACAACTGACCCATTCATAACAAGCATAGATCAGTGGTTCTTAACCCCTGGGGGTCCGCTGTCTCCTCCCACGGGGTCCACGAAGTTTTTAAGAACATTCATTCATTAATATCAATTAATTAAGAAAATACACTCTCTTATATCAGAGTGTAACTTATAGTTTATCTTTCCAAAATGTACGTTTGATGTGCAATTTAGAATATTTCAAACCCAATTAAATTTAGACGTTAATATTTCTCCTTGTATGTAATATAATGATGTAGCGCACCATACTTATTATCCTACAATGATCTTTAACGTATTTTTTAAACGCAACTTGTTCAATGTATATTATCTGTATTAAGTCCACATTTATGCTCTACCTGTATTATTTACTTATTTATCAATAAGATAAGCACCTTATCAACGTTTTTGTCTTATTTGTGGCGTCATAGTGTCACGTATCTGTATTTTAAAACGATTAAAGCTTGAAGTATTGCATTGTCCAATATACCTATTAAATGAGCCATATATAATCTTACGCTTCTAATGTCATATTTCGATTCAACTTGACAGAAAAATAAAATTTGCGGCACAAAATGTTAATATATTTATTTAAACAAACAATGTATAATATTTCTCAAAATTTTCATTAATCGTATTAAAACTTTAACTTTTGCCTGATAAGTAGGTATACCAAGTTTTATGTAAATTGGTTAATAACAAAAAACAATAACAAAGTTACAGATTTTTGGCAGATAAATGAGCAGTAAAATTCACCACATTAATGCTTTGCTCCAGAGATATTTGAAATTAAAAAGTGTCAAAATTGAAGCATATTTTGAGTAAGAACAATGTAACTTGGCTGATACACCCTGTATGGTATAAAAACCTTTAAAAATGTTCCTTTATTAAATTTTGTAAATAAATTGTTAAATAGTACCAATTATTTATTTTGTCGAGGCTGAAATCTGGAAGCACGTTAATAAAATATATACAGGGAAAGAAACAATTAACTGTCAAATGAAGAAAACATGTCTGCTACTTTGGAATAAGAGATTATTTTGCCGAATGGGGTCAATGCTTCATAAAAACATAACTTTATGTTTACAATTCTGTTAAAAATTCAAATTATAAGGAAATAAATAAATTATCATTAACAATGATTTTTGAATTCCTAAATTTCTAATAAGCCATTAAACTCTATTTTTGCAGAACTGTTTAAGCATTTGTTGGAATGGTTTGGTCAAAGAGCAACTACGATGAACTTTTCTATCCTGCTTAGTTTTACTTCAATGTATTGTTAATATGAATAAAAGCATTTTGATATTACTGTTATTGGAACTGTTTTTACATTCTTTTTAATATTGTTTACCACTTTCAAAAGTGTTTGGAACTTTGTTCGTATATATGCCTGTCAAATTCTTAGACAGTGAATAGAAATGTGAAGAGGGACTTCCCTAAACCTAAAAAATGCATTAGCATGATTTAAAATAACAAATAATTTGCATAGTATTTATTTTTGCAAAGTTACATTTCTCAGTACCTATATGTATACATAAAATTCGTATGTTAAGTATAAAATATAAGTGCACAATAAAAATAATATACTTTCAGTAACTATAATAAATATTTTCAGTTATTTTGCCAAATAACTGATTAAATTAGATTAAGTTTAGTTAAGTCGGATTATGATTAGCTTATTTTTAGTTAAATAACATAATTATTGCGATATATTGTTCAAAATTAACACTACTGTGCATTTACGTAATATTCTTAGCTCTGTTATACATTGAGCAAGTAAAATAAAAATACCTAATCAGTTATTGCCGTGCACAAATTCTTTAAATTACTATGCAAATGTATAAGTATATACTTACAATCAAATTCGCAAATATAATTAACATATTAAGTGTTTAATTAAGACTTAATTTAATACTTCAGTTATTGCAAATAACCTTCGGTAAATTTATCTCGTAAAAAAGACGTATTTTTTAAATTTGACAGGCAATAATTGTTACTTTACAGGACCTACGAGTATATAGTTATTTACAAAATACCACGTGTCTTATTTCAACCAATACAGGTAATTATTTCGTCAGTAAAGCCGCCGATCCAAAAATGTCCTAAATTAAAGTTATTCAGTTCATTGGGAGAAAGGCTTTGCTAACCTTAACCGTGACCTTAAAGGTCAGTTGAAGGTCAACTTCATAATTTTATATGATACCCTCTATTTTTTACCCTGGGAATGGTTTCGGCAGAAAATCTTACATCCGGATGTGATTTTATCTTTAATCTTGCAGTCGTATGATTCATTACCTCTGAAGTTTACGTTTGCCCCCAAAGTCGATGGGATTTTCATCAAGGTACTCAATCAAGACCTTGAATTTGACCTTAAAGGTCATTTGAAGGTCAACATGAAATTTGGCTTGTTGACCTCTAAATATAAATATATGTAAGGATGTTCGGGACCATGAATCGGTGATCTTAGATTCAATCCTGACGGTAATTTGAAGGTTGATTGAGTTTATTTTTATATCAGTACCTGTATTACTACTGAGGATGGATCCTGAAAAAGCGGTAAATTCTACACCCGAGTACGTTGCAAAGTAATAAGAGGTAAAATTTAAAGTTCATTTGAAGGTCAGATCAAGGAATACTAACGAAATGACCTGGTAATTCAATAATCCACAAATAGTGGTCTGATATTTTTATTTTTTTTTTTCAATTTTTCACCGTCCCTCAATCTCACGCTTTATAACATACTCAAATATGTCTTTTTCAATTCTCAAGCAGACTTATGCCTTTGTTGATACATTTTTTCGTCCTCCCTGAACTCATTCACCACATTACTTGTTCCTGCGATTAATAATACCTAACACCCATGTATTTCATTAGTCTGTTGTTAGTTTAATTGCATATTGAGAAAATTTCCTTTGAACTCGCTGTGACCTTGACCTTGACCAGTTGAGATAACATCCGGATATAAGATTTTATACCGAATACATTCCTAGAGTGAAAAATATACGGTCCTATTTAAAATTATGAAGTTGACCTTCAAAATCACGGTTAAGCTTAAACTTAAGGTCAGTAATCGCTTTCCCCCAATGAACTGAACAACTTTCACTTTAGGTGATTTTTGGATCGAAGGCTTCACTGACGAGCTATTCACGTGTATTGATTAAAATGAGACACGTGGTAGTTAATGTTTTTTTTTACCTAACCTGATTAATAAAATGAACACCTACCAAATAATTTCGCAATTTTGAGGCATAAAACAATCGCAATTATTCATGTCGATACAATATCTAAACAATTTTGTTTACAAAAAAAAAGAAAATGCATGATTAAAATATCGCAAACATATAATACCCATATACCAACTGCTTTGAAGCGCATATGTTGTTTTTTGATTACTGTTGTTTATTTCTTTTAAATTAATACCTATATTTCTATTTTTAGGGAGAAATCCAGTTCAACAGTATTTCCTGCAAGTTACATGCTAAATATGGTCATTCTAGGAGTAATGTACGGCTTGAAAGCACTGTTCTGATTTAAAAAAGTTAATATTTGCCTCTTCAAGTGCAAATAACGTATCTCAAGAACGACGGAACGACTTTCTAAACAATTTAACAAATAATATCTCACACGTTTAAAAAATTATCTTCTCAATATATTTGTGTAAACTGAATAAAAAGGACATTTCTGAGATTTCTAATATAACATACATACTTAAGTGTTAAGTAAAAAATGTGATTTGTTATTAAATATTTTTATTGTAAGGTTTAAAATAAACGTAAAATATATATTTTAAGCTGTTGCATATATATAATGTAACATATATTTTAAAATAAGACCTAGTTTTGAACAATTTCGAATAATAGTCATACAATATGAATTTTATGTTAATTTTGATTTAAAAATAAATGTATCATACTCCGCGGTCGAAATTATAGAGAGTGACTCAGACATAATATAAAAATACTATTACTATAATGCGTATAAAAAATAAAATGATTTTTATACGGTTCAATATTATTTATTTTTTTGCCGCTCGCTAAGCACATCGATATAATCTATAATCGTCTATAATACTGAGTTACACTGAACGTTGATCTGTATTCTATCTCCGTCTTTTGCACTTGGTAGGGAATAGGGAAATGCTTTTTTAGCGGGTGTAAACGGACTTGATTTACTCGTCCTGAGAAACGTCATAGCATAAGCGTAAACGAGGGGTCTAATTCCATGGCTATAATAAATTTATAAATTAAAAAAACACAACTGGGACGTTTTAAAATGCTGTAATAATTAAAATAGATCAAAGTGCCGGTTATAGCAAACCGTAAAAAAATATTAAATATTATGTTTTATTATCTTTTTTCAATATTTTCTATATCTTGTTGCCTTTTACGCAGACACGCCAATGGATTTTCGTTCTCGGCACGCTTCATACCCCTTATTAGTCCAAAAGCTAGCGATGAATCACTCTCTATAATTTCGACCGCTGAGTATAGTAAATTAATTTCAATGAACAGGTACGTAGTTTACCAACAACAGGTTAAGGAAACTCGTAGTATCTAATAGTACATACTGTTGGAACAATATTGATATACACGTTCTAGCTATTACGTTTTAACACTGATTTTATTGTGCAAAAGCTCGTGGTCCGTGGTGCTATCTTATGTGCGGTTACCGATACTACGTAGTATATGCCTTCCGAGTGACCATACAAATTTTTATCAGTATACGTGCATCTACCACGAAGTTATAACGTTTTGCGTGAAGTGAGTTTTTTATAGTTGTCAAACGCACATTGAACAGCGTACAAGTCAAGTTTTGTTTTTATGCCGGCAGAACATCACGTCCGACCTATAAATCCATAAGAGTAACTAAATAAGAGGTTTTTTTTATGTGTTTTCTGCCGGCAGCAGCGGCAGAGTACGCCATCTGTAGCTGATGCAGCAAACGACACACACAGACCATAAAATAATTAAGGAAACTGCATGGGAAAACACAATTAGAGTAACCTCTAATTTTACTATTTAATAGATGACGCTGCATCATAATGGCGGTAAATTTAAATGTAATAAAGTACACAGAATAAAAAGTATTCCATAAGTAATATGTCACAGAACAGCTGCTAATAGTTGAAATTAACAATTAAAATTAGCGTGAATCATTAACAGCTGTTCCATGACCCATTACTTTTGAAACACTTTAATTATGTTTTAACACTTTACAGGATGTACATTTTTTACTTTGTTGTCTTTATGAGACTGAAATTTGCCAAGACTGAATTTCTTCCAACATTTCAATCCAAAATGTAATATGTGCTGATTTCTTAGTAATAGATGACTTTAAAAAACTGCAATAATTTAGCTGAATGATACGAGAATTTAAGCTATCAAAAAGATCATTAATATCATTCGCAAACTCTGCTGTATGAATAGCCTCAGCAAGTATGCCAATAGTGGAATTACTCACCAATGCCTCAATTTCATGACTATGAGCTACAGATGCACTTTATGTTTGTGCTGCAATTTTTACTTTCATTTTAACATTACTACGATTTAATTCGAAATAATGGTCATGTATCTTTCGTAAACCTTGGAAGCGTTTAGATTTATCAATTTCATAACATTTTACTAAGTGTCTGAAATTTGCTGTTTTATTATGCGAAAATTTAATATTATTGTTATATAAAGCATTTCCGGTATTTTTAAGCAAATGAAGAACGTCAAAAATGGAAATAATTTCCTCGCCATTAACATTAAAAGTTTAATTAGTCAGAAGCTAACTGTCTGATAGCTGATTTGTTAGTGGAACCTTGATCACAAACTAGAATTATTTTTAACCACAAGACTGCAATGCTGAAATTTCAGTTAACAAAATTTGTAGGGCCTTTGTTTTTATAACATCTTTTGTGAAATAATACGCGATAGGTTGCTTCCAATGTTTACTAATACCTTGTACCAAAAACACTAGAGCATGATTTGCTACCTCATTTTGTCTACCCAGGGACCCAAGATCGACATATCCCGTTACTTGATCTTTACAAGTGTCATAATTTAGACCAGTGTTTCCCAAACTTATTTAAAAAGCGACCCCTTTTTTGTTAAAAATTTTCTCGGCGATCCCCTACTCATCACTCAAACCAAAATGCATGCCTAAATTACAATTAACTGATTATTTTTGAAATTTTATTTTACGAAAGATGCAGGAATACCCTCAGTTGGTGAATGAAGCTATCAAATATTTGGTTCACACAAATATGTGAGTTAAGTTTCTCATCTATGACTGCCATCAAAACAAAAGTGAGAAATCGCCTGGAACTGGAAAATGATATAATTGTGTGTGTCTCAAATACACATAACAGCCCAGATTTAAAAGACTGGTTTCAAAAAAAACAGGCGCATGGGTCTCATTAACACCAACACTAGACTAATTTACTTTATTTTTCGCTTTTACTTTTAAAATTTATTAATATTATTTAGTTTAATGTTTCATTTGATAACAAATTGTTAATAATTACCTACGACTTTATTAGAATAAATATACATGATTTAACAAAGTGGTGTTTTTTCTTATTTTGGAAATTCCCGGCGACCCCCTTAATACCTAACTGCGACCCCCCGGAGGGTCGCGACTCACACTTTGGGAAACACTGATTTAGACCAACAGAGCTATTTCATCAAATACTAAACAACAAATTTTATCTCTTGTAATCATTTTACTAACACGTTCTGATAATTTACCTAACAACTTTTCATTTATCCCAACATTTAAAGGTATTTGGCCTAAATATTTCCTTATGGAAGATTTAGAGGGCAGCACAAAATTTTTTTATAAAAACCTGTAGCACTTTGGCCCACGTTTGTAAATTGCTAAAGCAAGTGCTTTATTTTCTGAATTATAGATAGGTTGTTTTTTTCGCAATTTTTAATTTGTGACTCAATAAATTTTACTCCTACTGGATCAAGATGTCGACTTAATTTTGCAAATAAAATAGAATAGGTGATACTACGAACATGAGCCAAATTACTTTTACATTTTAATAATTTCCTTTTTAATTTCAAAATCTGAATTTTCTGTTGACGATCTAGATAATACATTTTTTTATGTTTATCTGAAAGTTGAGATATTCTCTTAACATTCATAGTTTTAAAAAATGTTCTTTGTTTATTATTTGACTGAAAAGATGTGCGGCTTTGACAAAATGAGATATCAAGTGAGGTACTTACATGACCAGTATTCGATTCCGCTTCATTCAACTTGCTATCAGCAATATCTGTAATGGCCCTGGTGCTCTCAGTAGCGCTTGTAGGAAATAACAATTTTGAATATAAGTATTTCGGTTTTTTAAAAGATGGAGGTGAAAAATCATCCAAAATTGAAGTTTGGCAGCTCGTACTCTGAAAATTCTGTAATGTTACGTTAACAAATTGTTTTGCTGAATATTGGATACTATCCGGGGATTCCAAGGTGATATTATTACAATTAATAGGTGAACTTGTAGTTGATCTTAAAAATAATGTCGGCACAGCATTTCTGTTGAGACTATTCCTATCACTGCTTTTAAAACATTTTTACTCAAAATGGTCTTCACAAAAATAATGATTGTGTTTGTTGAAGCAAAGTCTGATTCATATAATTTTCGAACTGATTCTATACACAGTAATTGTCTGTCTTTTGTAATTTTGAAAAAACTTAGGACGCGTTCCATTTCTGTTGATTGAAAGCTTGGAAATACAGATTCGATCTGTGGTTGCAGATTTCTGTTTAACAATTTCCATAAAGGACAATGTTTTGCTGCAACAACGTGAGATGGCCTCAGTGAATGCATGTTCGGTCCGCCCTATCCAATAAAAGCCTCTTATTTAGTTACTCTTATGTATAAATCTCTTATCTATGCGTTCGACTATGTTCCTGTGGTTCGGGAAGTATCGTGATGGCCGAGACAGCGCGCACGACGACGAGAAGGCGGGGCGTCCCCGCACAAGCCATACGAACGAAGACCTTGAAGCTTGAAGCTTGAAGCTCCGCGATCAATCGTACATGGTCTGCCAACATTCTGATTGTTGATCGATCAAACTTCAGCGCATAGCGCACAGCTCAATGTTTTCGTTCATTCGGTTTGTGCGGGGACGCCTCGTCCTCTCGTCGTCGTGCACACGAAATCTCCCGAACCACAGAAACACATTCGGACGTCGCACACCACACACTCAACACCGTACCCGGTTATAACGGTTGATACATTTCTGTGGCTGTTTTACTGGTTTTAAAACATAACTTGATTGCTGTACCATGTTCCATCACAACTACCAAAAAACTCGCTTCACGCAAAACGTTATAACTTCGTGGTAGATACACGTATACTGACGAAATTTTGTTTGGTTACTCGAAAGGCTTCCCACTACGTAGTTCCGCTGACAGATAGATACTGCTACGCACTTCGCCATAATAAAATCGGTCTTAAAACTTAATAGCCAGACCGCGTATATATTGAATAGAATTTCAATCAATGTTTCAAATCATTACCGATAGTTATCGTCATTAATGGTTTAACTAAAAAAAATATTTTTTTTATGTGCTATAATATTCTTACACGGTGTTTCTGAAATAAATGCGTTTCATGTAAAGGGTGATAGAGGAGGGCACGAACGAAATTGAGCATCTTTTTATTAAGCAACTGATGGTCTAAATTCTAAA